AGCATGACTAGTTTTTTCCTGGACACATCTCCTCGGGCAAGGGAAATAAAATAAAAAATGAACAAGTGGGACTTTATCAAACTAAAAGCTTCTGTACAGCAAGTGACACTGTCAGCAGAACAGAAAGGCATCCTACAGTATGGGAGAATATATTTGTAAACAACTCATCTGATAAGGGGTTAACATCCAAAATATATAAAGAGCTCATATACCTCAACAACCAAAAACAAACAACCTAATTAAAAAATGGATGAAGGACCTGAACACATATTTCTCCAAAGAAGAATTACAGATGGCTAACAGGCACATGAAAAGATGCTCCACATCACTAATCATCAGGGAAATGAAAATGGAAACTACAATGAGATATCACCTCATACTAGGTAGAATGGCCACTATCCAAAAGACAAGGAATGACAAATGATGGCAAGGATGTAGAGAAATAGGAACCTCCTACTCTGTGGTGGGACTGCGAATTGGTACAACCAAAGCAGTATGGAGCTTCCTCCAAAAACTAAAAATAGAAATACCATTTGACCCAGTAATCCCATTCCTAGGAATTTACCCAAAGAAAACAAAAACCCTGACTCAAAAAGATACATGCACCCTTTTTATCATCACATCATTTGCAACAGTCAAGATATAGAAACAACATAAGTGCCCATCAATAGAGGAATGGATAAAGACATGGTACATATACACAATGGAATATCATTCACCTGTAAAAAGAAAATAAATCCTACCATTTGCAACAACTGGATGGATCTAGAGGGAATTACAATCAGTGAAATAAGGCAGGTAGAGAAAGACAGATACCATATGATTTCACTCATTTGTGGAACATAAAAACAAAGCAAAACAGAATGAACAAAACAGCAATAGACTCACAGACACGAAGTGACTAGTAGTTACCATAGGGGAGGGAGGTGGGGTGGGTAGTGGGTGGAATGAGAGAGAGGTGGATAAAGTGCACAATAATTTGCAATCACAGTATATGTTGATCATGGAGGCTGTTGAACCATTGTGATGTACATTTGAAACCAACATAAGATTGTATATTACTGATACTTAAAAAAGAGATAACCAGGTGGTTCTTAAAAAGTAAACACAGATTGTCTCTGAAAAGGAAAAGAACGTGTTTTCTTGTTAAGTAACTGAAACCAATGTAGTGATTTAAAAGAAATAAGCATGATCTTTTTGGCTCCACATACACTTCTAGGATTTGAAATGTTGGTCATTAACATGTGAGAAGCCAAAATCAACCAATCAAAATATAAGTGAATAAGCAAGGAGACAAGTGAGTACTGCTCTGCGAGCTGCTACAATACAAAGGAAGGGGAGTCGAATGCTGCTAGATGCAAAAACATCAAACATTGAGTGACTTGACAAGAAAGTGTGTTCTATGTAGATGCCACTAGAAAAAACAAAGGCTGATTTTCTGCTATGATATTTCTGCATAGAAGACAAAGAATCAAGGCCACTAAAATTCAAAGGGAACTGGAAGCAGGACTAAAAATTTTCAAGGCACTTTTTAATCAAAATTTACATATCCAGAAGACTGAAAGAATTTGAAGTTTTCATCTGACATTGAGACTCACAACAACCCTTAGTCTTCTAAACACCTTGCTATGTTCCACTAAGAGAAAATCCTCATTTTTTGAAGTTCTTTGACTCACAGAATAATGTCAAGCCTAAGGACATTCACATAAATGCCAGTGTTATCAAGAACATATCTTGAAAAATGAGACTACCTCTCTGATTTTTGTGTTTTGATGAATTTGAAGAATATGAAATTTTTCAAGGTTCTGTCTAGATCAAGGATGATTTTACAATTAACTCACTTTTGGAAAAGAGGAACTAATAAGAATATCTGTCAAAGTTTAGATTTGTGTAATTAAAGTTAGCTTGGAAACACAAGCTAAAGTTCTGGAAAAAAAAAATCACAAGGAAAGAGTATTAGGAGGAAGGAGGACCCAATAGATTAAAATTAAGAGACATAACAATCAATGCAGCATGTGGATCTTACTTGGATTATGATTAACACAAATTTGCTGGCAAAAGAAAAGCATAAGACAGTGAAGGAAATTTGAAGTGATTAGTTATTTGATGATATTAAATAATTATTGAAAATGTTTTGTTAATTTTATAAAGTCATTTTATTTTAATAAATAGATATATTAGTAAATGTATATTTATTTTATACATTCAAGTACTTACAAAAGAAATGATACATTGTTTCAGATTTGCTTCAAAATAACTCAGTGCAGGGGTGGGTAGTTGGAGGTATAGATGAAACAAAATTGGCCATAAATTGGTGATTGTTGAATTTAGATGCTAAATACATGGATATTCACTGTATTATTCTCTTTACTTTTGTACTCTTCTTTTACTTTCCATAAAAAGGTAAAGAATAAAAATATAAAACATTTAAAACTCTCTTTACAATATAATCAAAAAGTATAAAATACTTTAAAATAAATCTAGCAAAAGATGTCAGGCCCTTATTGATAATTACAAAATACTATTCTGGAAAACTAAAGACTATTTAAATATGAGGAGAGATAGAGCATGTTCATGATTGAAGATTTAGTATCCCTCAAACATCAATTTTATGCAAATAGAATTATACATTTAATACAATCTCAATTAAAATTTTAAACAGCTTTGTTTGCTTTTTGTAGGGAATTGCAAATTGAACCTAAGGTTTACCTAGAATTGCAAATGGTCAAATATAGTGAAGAAAATGTTAACAAAGAGGTAACGACATTGGAGATTTGCACTATCTAATAACAAAAATAAAATTACAGCAATCAAGGCAGTGTAAATTGTTGCAAATACAAAAAAAACATGCTGATGGAACAGACTAGAGAGTCCAGAAGCAGCTCCACACATGTACAGTCATCTGCTTTTGACAGAAGTAACAGTGTAGTGCGAAGAAAATATTGGGTGTTTACAATAAAGCAAAATATATGCATACAAATAAGTAAATCTTGACTCTTGTTTTGCCTGAACACAATGGTTCAGGTGAATTGCAGACCTAAGTGTGAAAGGCAAAACAATAAAGCTTCTAGAAGAAAATGTAGTATCTTCATGACATTGAAGCAGGCATAGATTTCTTGAACAGAACACAAAAAACATAACCATAATGTGAAGATCCATAATTTAGATTATATTAAAATTAGGAATTTCTGTTTATCAAGATACATCATTAAGAAAATGAAAAGGCAAGCCCTGGTGTGAAATACATAATTCTGAAAATTCTCAATTATTAATAAACTGCTCAGTGTATATAAAGAATTTCTATTAATTTAATTTAAAATGCAGACAATACAATTTTAAAAGGGAAAAATGAGTTGAAGAGGCACTTTATAAGACATTCAAGCAGCTGCTAAATAGAAGATGCTCAACCTCGTTAGTCATCAGTGAACATAGAAATACCCTAAAGGCCACATTAGAATGACTCAAATGATTGACAGTGCCAACTTGGTTGGTATATGGAAAAGCAAAACTGTTATACACTGCTGATGGGAGTAACATAGGGCAATCATTTTGGAGACTAGCTTAGAAATATCTATTAAGGCTAAGATAAGCACACCATATGACCTAGGAATTCAAGTCCTCAGAATATAGAGAAATCAAAACATATGTACACCAAAGCTGTGTACAGTAATGTTCATAGCAACATTCTTCATAATATCCCCAAATGGAAATAAGCCAAATGCTATCAACAATAAAATGGATAAAAAGATTGTGGTGTGTTCTCACAAAGAAATGTTTTCCTAGAGTAATGAAAATGGTTGAACAGTTGCTACATACAAGAACACAGAGAATCTCCAACCCTAAATAAAACTTGCCCATCATTTCCATTCGTGTGTTTTCCCCTCATCTAATAATTCCCCTGGCAGAGCTACCATAGAGAGGAAAAAAAGAAAAGTGATATTAGGAACACACTAATTGTACCTCAAAGCCACAAACTATACACATAAGATGTGTGTGTGTGTGTGTGTGTGTGTGTGCAAACGTAATGTACATTGGTTGAGTCATTGCTGTGTAGGACCTGTTGCAGCTTTTATTACTAATCTTTATTATACCCTTGGAAATTACAATTCTGAGACCAGCATAGATCAAGCAACCAACTAAAAGCCAAAGTAAAAATAAATGGCTGAGAAGGGGTTGAAATCCAGACCCTCTCAGTACCATCATCCATTGTAGTGATTTTGAATAGTGGTTTGGATCCATGAATCAAAGTTTCTTCATCAGGATGGTTAGAAGAGAAACTGGAAAAAAAAAAAGAGGAACTGAAATAATATATTTCTGCCACCAACAATGGAGACTCAGGGAGTAGTAGCTGCTTTTTCATCACTGTAATTGTTCTTTGAGATGATGTGGCATTATTGTTTAGCTTAATGTTATTATATTTTAATCTTAAGACTGAGACTGTCACAAACTTACTCCTATGTTCTAAGTTGCATTTTCCTTGGCAACTCTACAAAAAGCCTAGAACTGAAGAATCTAAGGAGTCTGAAGCAGGAGGCCCCCAAAGGGGGCCAGCGGATGGGGGAGGAATTAAAATAAAAAAGCTGACAAACTTTTCCTTAGCAAAGCAAGGGTGGCTTCCAGGGGGACCACTCAAATATGGCATAGATGCAGCTAAGTGCCCATGGAGAGTGCAGAGCAATAAAGATGAGAAGACTTCATGTCCAGAATTTTTTTTTAATGCAATATAATTTTGGAAATGAATAGGCAGTGATGTCACAATGCCGTTGAAGGAAAAGGCTTATGGGTTAGTTCTAAAAATAAATAGTTCTGCACACTGAACCAATAATACATAAAATACCATTATGTATGTTATCAGATGTCAGTAAATGGCTTAACTGAATATATTGATATGGAGAAAATAAAATTCTAGACAGATAAAACTTGCATACAGTCAGCACTCCTATGTGCAGATTCCGTAATTGCTCATTTTTATGCCTGCTGAAATTTATTTGTAATCCCAGAGTCAGTATGGTGCTTTCACGGTCATTTGTGGACATGCACAAGACAGCCGAAAATTTGAGTCACCAGTTGTGCAAGATCTCAGCTGAAGTCGAAGTGATACCCTGCCTTATTTCATTTCTCCTATTACAAACAAGTATCCTTTTTTTTGCAGTCTATTTTGTGCCGTGTTTTTCACATTTTTATGCTTTTTAGTGATGACTTCACTGTTGAAAACGGCCTCCAGTCATATGGTGAAGTGCTGTCTCATGTTTCCAAGTGGAAGAAGGCTATGATGTGCCTTACAGAGAAAAGTATGTGTTAGATAAGCTTTGCTGAGGCGGGAGTTGTGCTATTGGCCAGGGCTTCCATGTTAATAAACCAGCAACATATATTAAGTGAGATGTTTTAAGCAGAAACACATATAAAGCAAGGTTATATATTGCTCATTTGATGAAAATGTTTTGGCCAGAGGCTTGTATGAACCTAACTCCATTTCCCCTAGGAACAGTGATCCAGTATTCACTAAGTCAGTGTTTTGGGTGATTACCTCAGATAACTACCTTGAGTAACAAGAATCAACTATAATTTCTTAGGAAAGAGAAAAGGAACACTGTCATGCATCTTTGTGTTTGTGACTTCCATTGAGGTAAATCAGTTAATGAAGGCACAACACTATTTTGAATTTTAAAATAAACCTTTTTGAGAACTACAAATGCACACACAGTTGTGAACAATAATAAAGAGATAATCTACATTTCA